TTCGCAGTGTTTGTGCGTGCTGTCAATATACATAAATAAGAAGCAAAACGAAAAAAAAAATCAGTAAATGCGTGTGTTATTCATCGTCGCGCGCGCCACACACAGAGAGAAGAACCAAATCGAAAGAATATATAAGCGACCGCGTGTGTAACGCAAACCACATATAATCCCCAGAAGGAATACGATAAACGCAATGTGTCTTTTTCTCGTTCTCTGTCCGCAACGATTGTGAATATATATACAACACACCAGAAAGTGAACCGATTGCTCGAAGGCACATTTTCACGGCGCATTGTAACGAACGCAACGAATTATGAACAAATAAACAAAACGTTTGACTCAAAAGTTAACGCTACTTCGGTTGCTGTTCGCTTCTAATCTAACGCATTTCTTTTTCGTATTCTAGCTCAACTTCTAGCTAATATCTTTATATATCTAATACATAAACAAAAAAAAAATTTCATCGTTTCACACTCTTCAGTCTATCTACGTAGCCGATAAACACATATTTCCGAGTGTTGGCGAGTGTATGTGTGCTCTTATTTATATATACATACGGCCAATTTTCAATGTCACCATGCACATTTGTTATGCCATGGAATATGCCCCCATCTAACGCATCATCGATTTACGCTGATTCATCGCAACCAAAATGTTTCGGTATTGATACATTCTCAAGTGACTCAAAGTGCATGATCTAATCTATTTTGAACTGAATTTTTACCATACGCTAAATTGGACAAATAATTCGGTGTGTGTGTGAGAGAGAGAGAGAGAGAGAGAAACTTTTGCGTATTTGAAAGGAAGAAAATGGAAAAATATTTTTTTTCTTGAACACTCAAACTTTTTTAACTGAAGCATTCTTTCCCGAATTGGATTTTATGTAGCAAAAAAATTTCAAAGAAAACTACATAAAATACAGATCGGTGTCATTCAAAATCTACATGGATCATGAACTTGGCATCGTTGACATGCATATTAATGAGAGAGTGTGTGTGTGTGTGTAGACGTGATTTAAATGTATAATTCACACATTGCAAAAAGAAAACATGATATGACACATTTTTGTTGATACACACAGCCCAAGAAAATATTCTCAGTATGTTTATGTTCAACGTTCAAAATATGACTAACTTTAATTTATTCGTGCAATTGAATCAAATTCTTCCAACTAATTAGAAAGAAAGATAAAACAAAGTTTTGCGTTTTTTTTTTTTTTTTGATAAATTAAAGCACATTCAAAAATTAAACGAGAAAGATCAATCGAGACCAAAACGTTATCGATTTGCAGAGAAGATTTAATTTGTTATAAAATATGAGTGAAACACGTTCATCGCCAGTATTATATCCAACAGCCACAGTAGCAACTGCAGCAGCAGCAGCAGCAGCAGCGGCACAGGAGCAATCACCGATTCTTCCACCACCGCAACCACAAACTCAGCCACAACAGCGCGTTCATGTTATCAAAAAGAATATTTATTTGATGACATCGAACCCAGGCAATAGTGGAAACAACAGCGGTGGTGTCACCACCACAGCGCCAATGGTAAATGTTATTTTCCTTTATTTTTAAATCCGAAAAAAAAAACACATTGAAGTTTCGGAGCCCGGGCTAATCGAATTGATCCGAGGCAAAGAGTTTCGATTGTTGTTTTTTTTTTTGTTGAGCGTGAAAATATGCCTTTAATTTCAGATGAACAATTTGAATCGACAGATAATCATGCAACCAAAAAGTATCGTTGCCGGTGGTAGTATAACTGCTGGTATTGGTGGTGCTGCACAGACAGCTCCCATCGTTCCAATCATCGACAATTCGGCCGAGGAAATGCAGTATTTTGCGCGCACTACAAAGAAATTATCGTCCATACAAGGGACGACCACCACAACGCCCACCAGTCTGGGCGATACGGTTAATGTGGTATTTCGTGCTCCAGTCGTTTCATCCAGTTCAAATCAATCGATGAGACCGCCACCGCCACCACCTCCAAAAATCAAAGGACACTCCGAAGAACCATCCAGCTCGATTCCAGATTTAGGTAAGTTGCATTCAAGTTCATTTTTTTTTTACTTTTGCTTATTTCCCCCATTTCATTCATGCCCTGTTTTGTATATTATTGAGATAAAGAAAAAAAAACAATAACCGCACTCAAGAGATAACAACACACAATTCCGCAAAGTCATATCTCCAATTCGGTTATTTTTAAAATCTGAGTTGTATTTATACGAGGAAGAAAGAAAATAAAACGACAACGACGATGACGACGAAAACAAAATGTACGGATAAAAGATCAAAAATCTTTGATATTTTTTTTGCATTTTATCTTGAGTTATTCTTTGGATTATTGTTGTTGTTGCAGCTATTCTACGTTTGATTATTTCTTGGATGCAAACTGATATGTGCGTATGTGTGTGTGTGTTGTTTTGCCATTCGCTCATTTCTTTTTATATCGTTTAATTGGCCATTTGGTATAAAATGACGAGGAGTATCTTATAGTAGCCGTGAAAGTGAATGCACTTCTCAGATGCTCTCTATCATATTTCTTATTTGGTGTATGGGCGTGTGAGAGTATGTCTGTGTGTATGTGTGTTTGGTATTTGTTCACAAGAGAGAAACAACCACAATAAAAATGACCTTGACTGCATTTGTACGGTCACATAAATGCGATGCACACACGTCTTTCTGCCTATATATCTCGGTTTCAAGTGGCTCATGTTCACGTTGAGTTTGTGCTTCGGTTTTTGTTGTTTGGCTTTTTCGATATGGAGTCTCTTTTTTTCGTACGACACACACACACAAACACATACACAGTCGTAAGCACACATCGAGTTGAATGCGATCATATATGCGGCACTCTCCGTTCAAGCCTCAATCGAGGATCATGGTTTCGTATTTATAGACGTTCGAAATGCACTGATTCACACACTCTGTGCGTGTGTGTGATGCATGCGCGTACTTTCTTTGGTGTCGATCAAAAACGGAGTGAACAAGAATACAATGCGACATGCAGAAAAAAAAAATGTGTTCTTCTTGTTTCGACTTCAGGAGCAGCGTGACGATTGACGACCGCGACGACGACGATGATGCCAATTGACCTGATACAGAGTCAGTGCACATTCAGTATATTGCTAATAAGGCAGTGGGTATTTTCATAAATGTCCACCCACATAAATGCCCCGTATTTTATTTGGTCGTGTTTCGTTTTGTTAATGAACTCCAAGCAGCCAAAGTCATAATCAAGAAATTATTTTGAAAATGAGGCGAAAATCCGAAACGCAACAACAGCGTACAGCCACCAAAACGGAAACGAACGAGAGAATTCCAAAATTCAATCGCAACGGCTCAAACACACTTGAGCCACATTCACACGAAACTTTTGGCATTCAAATCATTTTGCCCAGACATTAATATGCGTATATAATATTTTCGTGTTAATTTACATTTTACTTTAACATGCCATCGAATAAAAATAAAAATTCGCTTAATCTTTGGAGTGTTTGCATTGAGATAGAACGCACATGCATTCGTTCACCTCGGCTCTTTCTCTGCCTCTCCACAGCCAGTCAGCCAGACAGATACGCCATCCACAAAATGTGTTCTGTTCATATGTGTGTATGCAGTGTATTGTATCGTGTGTTCGTCACTCATCGCGCGCACAATGCACTTTGGCTTACGGAAAAATATGCACATGCAAAATAGCGAATACCTAATTGAGAACATATAGTAAACAAAATGTTGTGACGCGCCTCAAAAACTCTCTCACACACACATACACATCAAATCTTGTGATTAAATGTATGAATGCAATTTTCAATTTTTGCTGCTTTGCTCTTCTTCACTTGTTTCTCGTTGTTCTGTTCTGTTTTTGTTTTTTTTTCGTGAATTGCAATCAAAAATCATCACTATTTATGGGAGCGCTCGATTTTGTTCGTTTTTTTTTTT